AAATATTTGCATCTCTATAAACATAATAATAATAATAACTTATTTGTTTGATCTGTGTATCAATATGAAGATATTAACTTATTTCGTCCATTATAATAATCAGTTCAATGTTTTCATTGAATTTTGTAGATATCTTCATAGATATTACTACAAACTCTATTATATTATTTATAAAAATATATTACATAACATATATATAAAAATATGAGTATAATTTACTTAGTTTCGCAAGCCACAACCACTGATGCAACTGCGAGTGAGCTGGAGGAGACGGTTATTTCCAGCGCAGAACTGGCACGCAGACGTAAAGAGGCTTTGAAGCGGATCTTCGGCGAGGAAAGTGAGAACGTTTCTGAAAGTGAGCAGGGTGCTGCTGCCAGAATAGCATCCCAAGAGGTAAGGCATTCCAGTAGCTTTACTAATGATTTTGTAAACTTTAGAACATAATTAAACACAAAATACCTTGTTGTAAAATCAACTATAAACGCCCTTTAAACATGCATTTATTTTTCTTTGTAGTCACAGTTGTTGGTGATGGCTTCTGAGCATGAACAGTTAAAGAGCAAACTGGAAGATCTTCAGGAGAAGAAGGAGCAGATGGATCAGTTGTTGTTGCAGCTTAAGTCACTCAGACCACAAGCTCTAAACAATGGTAGGTACTAAGGAACAAAAACAAATTAATGCAACAGCAATCCTTTGACTCTGTACAACGTTATATACCCTTCAGACAAATTCCAGAGAAAACCTTTGAAGAGGAATTTCGGTTTTTGTCTTATGCCTTTTGTCTGATTCAGATTCAGATATTTATTATGTCAAAATGTCAATGCATCATGATAATAGGTTCAGGCTTTACACAATCAAATATTGTCGGTTGAGTCTGTCAGTGTCAAACAAAAATCTGATAATGTATGCCCATTGCTGATTGTACTTTAGTAATGTGTTCTGTTGCCTTCTTACAGACGGAGATTCGATGAGTGCAAGTTCCATGAACGTCTTGGATGTTGTTTCCCAGGCAACATCAGCAACAGAGGAGGCGAGATCGGAAACATCTCAACAAGCAATATCTGATGATAAACTTAGGTTGGTTGAGAGCTTCTTGTGTACCTGAATGCCATCATCATCATCATCTCAATCTTAATAACTTCATCATAATCTTAAAATCATTGAAATAATCATTCTCATGACAATCAGTAACATTATAATTTTGATTGTCATTATCATTGTCATTTTCACTAACATTTGAGTCTATACTTTGAACAACAAAATTTTATGCCTACATTTAAAAGCATGAATTACCGATTTACAACTTTTGAATGAATTTTATCTCCTGAAGAAGACTTCAAGAAATGCGCGAGAGATTGAACCAGCTCCGAGACTTAGTGCAGTACTACCAGGCTAGCCAAGAAGAGGAACGGGCTGGAGCAGGAGATGCACCAGCAGCAGCTGCTGCCATGCCAGAACACGAACCCTCTTTGTCCTCCGTCAACTTTGAAGATCCTAGGCTTATGTCTAATCTACGGTATGTTAACCTTATGCTCTGTTCACTCTGTCAATTTTTTTGTGACAAATTTATGCGATGTGCCCATATATGGGTATGATGGTGTCATATTATATCTCATTTGTTTGTCACATAAAAATTAAATATTGTAAAGATAATAATAGATCCAGGACTTATAATTAGAGAGAAAGACTTGTATTCTGTAGATTTTGGTGACAAATTTGTGTGATGTGCCCATACAGTATATGGGCATAATAGTGTCATATTATGTCACTTATTTGTCATGAAATTTGGTAGTGTGAACAACTTTAAGTTGAAAATTAACTACAGTTGAACTTGCCTAAGTCGAATCCAAAATGCCATTGTTTATTTGTTGAAAACACAACAATTTGGCATGTAAAATAAGTTCGACTTATAAATTATTCGAGTTCAACAAAGTCGACTTAGGCAAGTTTAACTGTATTATAAAGATAATATTGATCCAGGACTTAATAATTAAGAAAAAGACCTGTATTCTGTAGATTTTTGGAATTTCATTATTTAAGGGTGTAATAGTGCTTTGTTTCTTTGTGCAGATTGTTACAACGTGGTGAAAACATTGCATCTCACAGTGGCAGTGGATTAAATGCTGTAAGTTTAAATGCTGCAAATTGCCTTGTGACTTTTCACTAAGTGATAATACACTATTGGTGCTGTAATTATTGTTTTTTATTATTAACATTTTATTGTTATTTTGCTCTGCTTTAAGAAACTTGAATTTTATTGTTATCACAACAAATACTGCCTCATATTTTTTGAATTCTTGTAACCATTTCTGTACAATTCTTATGATGATGAAGGATGAAGAAAATGACAATGAAGATGAGGAAGATGATGACGAGGATGATGCTAGCGAGAGTTGTACCACTGAAGCTACAGAGAACAATGAAACTACCGGGGAAACCACCACGGAAGACGAGACGGAGAGCAACCAGAGCTCCATCATGGCTAGATGGGGAGATGACCCAGAGATCCGAGAGAAAGTCAGGTAACCATTCATCTTCTTGGACCTTTCCACTATGCCCCAACAAAAGATAGTAAAAACCTGTGCATTAAAGTATTACTGAAGATGCTGAAATATTGAAAGTACCATACCATAAAAAATCGCCCATTTTTTTTATTATAGGAAACTTCAGTCGGCCAAGGCTAAGCTTCGCCAGCTGCAAGACCTGGTAGCTATGGTCCAGCACACACCCGAGTTTGCTGGTAGCCTACCCAACGACCTCGCTGAACTCGCCATGAGTATTGATGAAGAGGCCTCGGACCAGCAGAGCAATGCTGCTGCAGGCACGGAAGCCCTACGAGCATTCACTGAAGAAACTAGGTATGTGTTATTATTGTTTATTATACTTGGTCATCAGGGCCTGGAAAAATAAAATTTGTGGTACCTTCATAATCAATATGCCTCGAGTATGAAACATTAACTGTATGCATAGTACAGCAGTGGTCTGAAGGCCAACTCAGACAGCATCATATGACGCAACCCAACGTGATTTGTTTGTGTGATTTTGGTTTGTGTGAGACACAGACACCATGGTTTGCGTCATGGGCAGTCTCGTCATGTTTAATATTTTTTTCTTTACGAGGGCTTAAGACTGTCCCCGACGATGAATCGCGTTGTGCTGTGCCGTACGACGCTGTCTGTGTTGGGCTTAAGAAAACATTTTTTTTTTCAAAAAACTTCATCAAAATGTTTGATCTTTCTATCTGCATTTCCCGCCAAGATGCTGTGTTCCTGCCACCAAACATGTCATGAATAATATATACATTCATTCTTCTAATTTTTTATTTTCAGGGAAGCGTATTATGAAGTTAAAATGAAACAACAGAAAAAAGAACTTGAAAACCTGATGCAAGAAAGGCAACGTTTACTACAAGTGCAGAATCAACTGAAAGACCTCAATGAAAACCCCACACCAAGAGTAAGTCCACAATTTTAGTAATGATTAGCACAAATTAAATTGTATGTTTGTATAAAGAGTAATATGTAATGTAATGTATACTAAGAAATAATGATAATAATGATATAACAATAATATTAATGGCATTAAGGCCAAAAAGGAGTTCGGGTTACATAAGCTTGACTGAAATCCTTGTATGATGTTCGAAAAGGACACATAATTTTTACAAGATTTTAATTAATTTCATACTTAACATTAGATTTTTTAATTTTCACTTTGTTGGGCAGCTTCTTTTTTTGCTCAAATAATTATCTAGTTGTCCACTTATTCCTTCCAAACAGCACCTTTATCATTTTTTTTTATTTGTTTGCCTTTTAGAAGACGCTTAGTGCAGGCAAGAAAACAACTGCTGTACAGGCAGGAAATCCTTTACTGGAGGCTGCTAAGCTGATGGAGGAAAACAGTAAGTTTTTTGGGTTTTTTTTGCTATAGTGTATCATTGTAGAATGACTCAGCAAAGTGCCTTTGGTCATTCTAGATATGAGTTGCCTTGCAGGACATCAATTTTGCAAAAAGTAATATGCTGAAGTTAGAAAATGAGTGGAAAAGGAGGGCTGAAAGATTCTATTCTCTATTTCATAAATACTAACCTTAGTGAACTGATATATACTTTATGAAATTTACTAAAATATAATGCAATTTCCTATTCTTTATATGTGGCAAAGACAAGCCAAACCAGTCACTCGTCGCAAATCGTGTTTCAGAGAAAATGGCCAAAACATGCTGGAATGTCAAATTTAAAAAAATCTATTTTATTGCACTAAACTAACCTTTATATATCTACACATCATTCTATGCTGTTATTTTCCCCATTTTCAATGTTAAAACAATACTTTTTAAGGATTTAAAGATAGTTTCTGCATGAGAAATGCCTGAAATCATAAACTTTGACTGTTAATTTCTCATATATTGTTCTTTAAACAGCTAGCTGTGTGGTTAAACGCTTGTAACTTCATAAGGAAATGTCCGATTTGAATGATTTTTTTACCATTTTATAGCTATTATTTTACTCTCTAACACTGTATTAATAACTCAAAATTGATTTTTGCGACGAGTGACTGGTTTGGCTTTGTCTTTGCCACATATGCTGTAGAAGTAATATAATTAGTGAAAGGCTCATGCTTGGTGGAAGATTTTATTATTTATTATTTATAAAGGTAAGTTCAAATCATAGGATTATCATCATCACTATTTTTTTTCTATTCATGCCTCATATTTATTTTGTCTTTTCCTTCTGTAGAACTGGCGACTCCAACAAGAGATGAGATATATGCGGAAATGAGACGGCACAAGATCCTGCAGGAGGAATTGCGACAGAAGAGACATGAGCTGGAAGAACTCCTATCAGGAACCAGATCAACCAGAGTATGAATATTTTTTGGCCAGAAATTGAAAATAATTATAAATTAATTACTAACTAAATCCTTTCCAAGCCACTGGGGCTCATAGGGCTGGAGCATATCCCCAGTTTCTGTAGTGTGAAGCGGATGGGAGTTGTACTCCCCCTGGACGGGACACTAGTCCATCGCAGGGTAGTACCAGCAGTTTGCTGGTATCCATTGATACAGCTAGGTGGACTGAAGCAATGTAGGTTGAGTGCCTTGCCCAAGGACACAAGCGAATCTGCACAGCGGAGACTCGAAACCCCGACCTTACGATTGAAAGCCCAAACCTCAATTTGATAATAATGTTTTATTAATTATTATTAAATTCTTTTTTTTTTTCTTTAGATAAATTTTGATGATCTTGAAAGAGCTGCATTTTCCGTCCAGAGTGAAAACGATAATGATTTGTTTAGGTAGGTTGTTGTGCCAACAAACAGTAGTGTCGATTTCCAATCACCTGTATAAATACAGTAGTAATTAACAAGTTGATATTTGTATATTAATTTAAGTTAGTTTTGCCTTTTTGGAATTAATCAGTCAATCTTGTAATTAATTAATTAAGTGGTCATAATGATCACACATTTGAACAGCTTTTTTCATCTCCATGAAACCCCACCCATTGTATATTCTTGCTAAGTTCCCATGAAACAGTGGTGGCATATTCTTGGCCATGCTCAGATTAGTCAGTTGTTAAGTTTAATGGACCTTTCCGCTTAGCGCTACCCCATGAATATTGTTGCTAAAATCCAAAAAAAATGTCCAAAGTCCAAGTACGAATGGTGGTGGTCAAAATGTATCCAATGTGAAAACAATTAAAAATAGAAGTTACTTAATGCCTCAATTTGATATTTGGAATCACTTATGTTTTATCTTAGTAGAGTAAGTATGCGTAGCGCTGACATCACTGCAGCTGCCACCTGGGGTAGCTCAACACAAGAGGGCTCCCTACAAGATGAGATGGAGAATGCGGAGGATGAAGATTTCCAAGGTGATGGAATCATCCAGGTGGAAGAGGAGGAGGAAGAGGTTGGTACCAATATTTTTCCATACTAAGGACAAATAGGGTAGTATTTTAAGGTAGGATTTTTTTCACAGCTGAAAAAGTATTTCATTTACAGGAATTGTTGGAGAATTTGCATAAAAAAAACCCAATTTTCCAGGTATTAATGTCTTGGAAGAGTAGAATTATTTCAATTCTTTTTTACACTTTATTTGTGTACAGGAATGAATTCAGAGCGGGAGGGACCAATCCAAGCCTAAAGCATTATTTAATGTATGGTTATACCTGAATGTATTGTTTTGTTGACTTTTACTTATGTTTTTCTGTTAATTTTATAGGTACAAAGTGAGGCCTTGTCTTCAGACACGTACACAATTGAAGCGCAGTATCGTCAGAGACAAAGACAGCTACCCTCCCTTGACAGACCATCGCTACCTTCCCTTGACAGACCGTCCGTCTCACACCCACGTTGGAGCTTGCCACAAGACAGTAAGTTCTTAATCTTAACCAGTTTAGTGCTCGTAAGGCCTTGCTTTTTGCATCCACCATTTTGAATTTTCGTTTTTTAATTAAAAGCATAAAGATGTTTGTAGAATAATGATTTAGCCTAGGTGGAAGGCTCAACCTGTAGAATTAAAATAACTAAATGATTGTTTCAGGCGATTCTGATGCAGCTCGGCATGGCATTCGCTACCCAACAAGCCCCCGTTACCGAGGTAACCCAGTGCCTGAATACAAAGGACTGACTCAAAGTGCAAGGAAAAGACAGGAGGTAAATGTCTCTACTTTTGATGTATTTCAGTCTTCTATAGTAAATTATAAATTGAAAGTGTTTACGTTATTAATGGCCATAATGTCCTACATATGGTATCAATTCTATTAAAGTTCCAAAACAAAGTATGGTATTATGTATAATTGTATTGCATTTTTTTACGGTGCTCATGAAACCAAACGACTAAACATTATTCATTAGGTACTTTCTAGTAAAGTTTATTTGAGCCATTTATCTAAAATTTAAGAAATGCAAATAGATAGAATAGACCATTTTAGGGCTTTTATCAACTTCACAACTGACCAATCAGAACAGGACAGGATAGTGCACTTGTTTCACAAATACACTTGCTGACATTGTTTGGTGGGGCCTTGGAAACAGAATTCTGAGGGGCGAGTTTGGGTTTAGGCCTGAGATCAGTGATCTTCATGCTTCAGTGCACATACAGTGGCTACCACAAACAGCCAACTAAGCTATGTTGCTTTTGCTACAGAAATGTATCAGCTTTCTCAAACACGTAATAACTAAACAACTATTGTTTGTAAAAAATTGCTGATATTTTGTTTGTAGAATATCCGTTCAGCTGAGGATCTGATGGCCGATGATCCAGCGAGCACTGCCGAGGAAACGGAGTACCTTAAATGGAAGTCTGTAAGCCTGGAACGCCAGCTATCAGCCAGCGTGAACATGTGCCACGACCTGCTACGAGATCAACACAACATGAGTAATCTACTACAGACGTCAATGACAGGTAAGGCCAGGCCTGGAGAACAAATTTGTGTTCCTCCAGCATCAAACGTCAATCTGTAGTAAATGTACACTGCATTATATATATATCCTGACATTGTTAGATTTTTTAAGCATCTGGACAATGCATGACGCCTTGAACCATGGGTAGTCTATTAATTTGAATACTTACATGGATAAACTTGCTGGAATTTATTTTTAGAAGGAAATTCCTTTAAAAAAGATACTGTGTACCTTGTAGAATAATGATATTGGTAGCATGTTATTTAAAAAATAATTTTTTCTTTGATTTTCTGCATAGGAAACTGGGGATATCCATCCCAAAGTCCAATGGCAAGAAACCCGTACATGAATTCGCCGTCCAACCCTATGAATGACATGCTAGCTAACTACAACATGCGCCTTCAACACCAGCAGCTGATGCTAAACCTGAATCAGACTTACGGCCAGTTGTACGCCCTCCAGGAAGACATCCGCAACTTTGAGGAAATGGCTAAACAGGAGGGTAGTGTGAATGAGGAAAACCTCCCTAGTAGCAACTACCCGTACGGGCCTAGCCCTGGCATTAGCAGCCTAGGATCTATGCAATCACAGTATGCGCAGCCTCACTTTCCGGGAATGTCGTATCCGCCGTACGGCATGAATCAGTACCCACCAGGCATGTATAATTTTTTTTGTGTAAAAATTTAATTTTCCACAGAAAATGCTATATAGTATATTAGATTTTTCTTAAAATTTGTAGAAGCTTGAATGTCCAAATAGGAGGCCATTACATAAAGTATGCACTATGCTGAAAATTCACATAGAGGTTTTTTTTCTCTCGAATGCACTATAAAAGCATGGAACTATTATTAGATTGTCGTGGGTGCTGTTTGCTTACCATTTCTGGATTGACAAACAATTAAGGTATAATTATTATAGTTCAAAATATGTCTTGATTTTCTTTGAACAGCATATGGATTGAATGCAAGTTACACTATTCCACCTTACACAAGTCCTGCATTGAACCCTTATGCCATGTCCACCTCTGCGTACGACCCTGTAAATAGCATAGGCAACCAACGAGCCCGAGAAGCCCGTCCACGATTCAACATGAACTCGGTCCTCAACCCTCAGGAACATGACGAGGTCCCGCCAAACTCGGAGTTGGATGACGATCAACTTGGCCCAAGTATCAGCAACAGAGAAGCTAGCTTTAATTTGGACTTGCAGTCGCACTTGCAGCCGAATTTGCGGCCTAGAACAACCGGTCTGTTCGGCTCGCCTGCAGCTGACGACGATTCGTTGACGACTCCAGTGGCAACTGCAAGTAAAACAAAAGCACCTTCTGCAGTTCCTCCACTCAATATTGATAGTTTGTTGAAGAAAATGTAAGATGGCATTCAGTAATGTCGAAAACTCTGTCCATACTATCAAATTTTATTTGACAGAAACATGTGACATACCTAAATATGGTCATGATGACATCACATCGTGACCATATATAGGCACATCATGACTATATATGGGCATACAACAGATTTTTGTCAAATGAAATTTCATAGTCTGGACAAAGCCTTACAAAGATAACTAGTTAATAATAAATCATGTGAATTTTTTTTGTTTCTTTCTTTGAAATATTGTGATAATGCATCATTGTGATGTTGATTTCTCTCTTGTAGGGATAGGCAGAGAAGACGGCCAGGCTCAGAGAGTGTTACAAGCACCTCAAGTAAAGGTTTGTATTGGGTTTTTTTTTTGTATGTTACTGTATCCAATATCAACTAATTAATTCTGTGTAAATATAGTTGTGTATGCTTTAAAAAAAAAAATTGAAATATTTATATACGGTAAATTTTTTGTAGGTGCCACAAAACGAGGTAGTGGGCTGATGGCAAAAGCCCGTGAGATGGCCAAGGATCATAGTAGGAAGGGAGCATCTGGTGGGCCTAGACCAGGGCTAAGCAGCTCTCTAAGCGGTACTGCCTTCTTCGATGCGGCAAGTGTAACAAGCACAGTATCAGCATCAAGTATGCCCGGAGAGCTTGTTAACGGGGAATTTTTCTTGCCTGGAGAAAGAAGGAGAGGCACTGTTAAAACCCAGCATGAAGTGTAAGCATTTACTATTTGCATTTGTTAAATTTTCTCCTCATTCAACAGCATGATGTGCAGATTTTATGTTTTGTCTTTCAGATTTTTATTATCTGACAGGCTTAACCGGCATTTTTTTTTTTTATCCATTTAGTGAATCGGATATTGGTAGTGAGTTCTCCCTCTTTGAAGCACTTCGCGAGACCATATATTCTGAAGTTGCTACTCTCATCTCGCAAAACGAGACTCGACCACACTACCTGATTGAACTCTTCCGTGAGTTACAAATGCTCAGCAGCGATTACCTGAGACAAAGAGCTCTCTACGCTCTGCAAGACCTAGTCTCAAAGTATCTTACTGATGAAGCGATTGCTGCGTCGAATGTAGCCAGCACAAGTCATGTAAGTTTTAACACAGGTCTTAAAACTAGACCTTTAAGTTTTGCCCATTTTGTTTTTGCGGGTGATATTGCAAGGCAAGTATTGAAACAATGCTTTTAATAATTTTTCCTATTTTTTTTCACAGTCTGTGCCACCATGGCAGATTCCTACAGCATCAGAACATACCCCAAGTGAAAGTCTGTTAACATCTGAAGATGATGAAATGAAGGTATGCTAGAAATTGTATATCATTCAATAATGACTTAATTATTAATATAATACTATAGTCATTCTATGCTAATGTCACAGTGCCACCAAACATTGCTTTCAGTGGATTTTGGCACTAAACTAAAAATTTTATGATTGATTGAATAATTTTCATAATAAGGTGTATTTTTGACTGGTGTAACAATAGCCACTGCTATTCTTTTAATGCTAAGAAAACAGAAAGAGTAAATTTGTTTGTATTGGTGTAATCCATAACATCAAAACTGATTGTGTATGTACAGGCAAGACTTTACTCGCAGCATCCGCCAAAGAAGAATGGGAGCTCGGTGAAGTCGGGAGAATATGATTATATGGAGCATGTAGAGAGTGCCAGCACCATGTCTACTCCTAACTCGACGCATGAGTTTGGCTTCGCTAACGACGACCTTGGCGATACAGTTATTCATCTTGATAAAGCCTTGCGTGTAAGTCACCTATTTTTTGTCTTGCACAGTGCTGTCGGGTTGTGATAAGCAAATGCCACTAATGATAAACCGTGTGCTTATTTTATTGTTCGCAGAGAATGCGCGAATATGAACGAATGAAGGCTGAACAGGAAGGGACATCATCGGCCGTAAGCAGCAGTGCTACTGCTGAACTTCACAAGAAGGAAGGACCTCAAACCAGCACGGATGCCACCAGTAACAGCTCTGCTCAAGATGTTGGTAGTGAAAGCTCTTTCTCAAGCCTTCCTGTAAGTCTAAACATAACTTGGGTTCCATTGTAGCGTACATAACTTAAACCTTCCTTCTAGTGTCTTAAAAAAACTATTTAGAAAGTTCATTATGTGAAAATTTCATCTTTTATTTACAGTATCCTAGAATTGACACTCGCCAACTGGATCACCAGATTAAGAGTATCATGCAGGAAGTGATCCCCTGCCTGAAGGAACACATTGATGATGTGTGCTCTTCTGAACTTCTAGCATACCTACGTCGTCTTGTCTTGACACTAACTCGGCAGCGTGATGACAGTCAAGAGTTTGTTCGCTTCTTCAACAAGCAGCTTGGATCTATTCTTCAGGATTCGCTTGCGAAATTCGCTGGGAGAAAGTGAGTACAGTAGAACCCCTCAATTATGTACGGCACAGGCCCAGAGCTGTTCGTAATTGCGGGTATTCGTAAAATCGGGGTTGACCCAAATTCCTATATATTTGCACTGGTACTACTTACACAGGCATAAACTGGGCCTAGGCTAGGCCCACAGGCCTACGCTGCTATGTCTGAGGGGGCCTAGGCCTACAGCAGGCAATTTCTAAGCATTCTCCCACTCTAGGCCCCACGCAAATTTGTTTTTAATCAGACGATTTTACCTTCTTAAATACCTATATTGTGGATTTTACTCCTACACAACTTCCATAAATGCTTGTTTATTATATATATTGATCGTTCAATAAAACAATCAAGCACTATGTTGAATTTTAAAGCTGAAAACAATGATTAAAAGAAAAGTGAAATTTGTCACATGCACATGAAATCGGGTATTTGTTAAATCGGGGTTCGTAATTGAGGGTTTCTACTGTAATATAAGATTTAACATCAGTTATTAGAACAAATTTTGATTTTTAAATTTTTAAAAATTGGTGTTTAATTTTATTGCATGTGTATTAATTCGCAGAATGAGAGAATGTGGAGAAGATTTGCTTGTAGATATATCGGAAATACTATTCAACGAACTGGCCTTTTTTCGCCTTATGCAAGACTTGGACACCTCAGGCAGTAATCTCCGTATGAATGCGGAGAGAGCGAGCGAGACCGGAACAGACACGGGAACAGGGGTAGATGAGGAAGAGGAAGGAGACAGCTCCTCTTCCGAAGAGTCTTCTGATGAAGAAGATACTGAAGCAGCAGAAGAGGAGGAGGAGGAGGATAAGGGAGATGATTTGACAAAGGCATCCTTGGAAACGGCCATGGCATCTTACTCCAAGATTGAGGAGGAAGACCTTGGCAAGGTGTGTAGATTAGCATATTCTAAGTACATTTCTGATTTATCTGATTAAGTTTGCAAACATACAACATTGAATGTGAAAAAATATTCAGTTATTATTAAAAGAATTATATAATAGTTTGTAATGTGACAATAAGGTGTTTTTTTGTTTGTTTTATTTTAGGCAAGAGATGACGAAATGGCAGCAGATCTTGGCATCAGTGATCAAGATGAGTAAGTTAATTGATTGACCTACCATTTGCAATGAGACTTCTTGAAGCCAGCAACAATCAAGCTCCTACATTTACCTAGCCCTAACATTCATAGGCCTAACAAAGATTAAATATTGTCCACTTGCGATAGTACCTAAAACCAAAAAGTATTTGATACATTTCGCCCTCAACTTCAAGACAACCTTTGGGATCTGGAAAATTTGGGGTAGTCTCCAGGTTCAGTCTGCACTTAAAGGGTTAGCTTTGTGTTAAAAAATTGATGATTGTTATTTGGTCCTTTGGAAAAGTTTTCTCGAATTAGAGAAGTTTCAAATTTGAAAATGTACTGTAATTTATATTCTTCTGTAGGATCTTTAAAACGTTGTATTTTTAAAACTTTTTCAGTGACAGCGAGGAGCCAAGCTCTAAGGAGAGAGTGAAGATTGAGCTGTCAATGAGTGAGAGTAAAGCAATAGCCTAGTAAGTTATTCTGTTCTAAATATTCAAATCATATATTATGAACATGTGACATGCCTAAATATGGTCATGATAACTTCACATCATGACCATATTTAGGCACATCATGGCTATATATGGGCATACCACAGTTTTTTGTCAAAGAAAATTTGGTAATCTGGAGTTTAATTAGCAATTACTTGTTATATTCAGATTTTGAAATACCATGAAAGTTTCCGGCAGGGACAAGTTTTACTTCTAGAATATTTCTACCAATTATGCACCATATTTTCAACCGTGAAAAATAATTGTTTTTGGCAAATGAAATATAAATTGAGTTGAACAACAAAATTCACAGTAAACAAATAAACAAATTGTACTTACATTATATAATGGCTTTGAATTAATAAAATTGAATCAAAATTAACAGAAAAGTGTTTTCTTGATTGGCAGCTTTGGAAGTGGAGAGGATGACAATGATGCTGATGCAGTGAGTCTTAAGGCAGAGGAGACTATAACCAGTATTGGAGCTTCTAATGTCACTGATGACCACCAAGCTAGTCAGGTAAAAGGCTTGTCCAGACTATCAAATTATATTTGTCAGAAACATGTGACATGTCTAAATATGGTCATGATGACATCACATCATGACCATATATAGGCACATCATGACTATATATAGGCATACAACAGTTTTTGTCAAAGAAAATTTGACAGAGCTTAAGACATTGGAAATGTGTGGCACAGTGTCAAGGCTTTGTGCTTCCAATCAGATGTTTGTTCAAGTTCAAAATTCAGAAAGGTCATGTGTCCTTTGATAAAACTAATTATTTTCATTTATATTAAACACAGAATGATGTACAGGTGGAAGATGATGTGGAGGAAGAGGAAAAGGCTGTTAATGTTACCGCAATACAGCTTGATGTTACTGCTGCAAATCTCGATGATGCAGCCGCAAAGCTTGACGGTACAGCTTCAAAGCTTGAAGTTACAGCTGAAAAGCTTGACGTTGAGGCGGCAACGCTTGATGATGTGGCAACCGAGCCTAATGTTGTCAAGGCAACAGAACCTCCAGCAGAAGGAACTGCTGCTGCTGAGCAAGAGGAAGAACAGACTACTGATGCCATGGCAACCAATGCCAGCCTTTCCAATGGTGATATTCAAGAACTTACTATTGAGGACCTACCACCTAAACTGACAAGCCTCTCCCAGGTATGCTAATCAAGGTTCAAGTTTCAATTTATTCAATTATATGCTATAAACACATGAAATGTGTTTTTCTGAATTAAATAATATGAATATTAAACATAAAATAACAAGAAGTTTCTCCCAGAATATGTTGTCTAATGTGAAATATTCACTTTCAGTTTGCTAATAAAAAGTTGCCTCTTTTGAAAAATTCTGGATATTGTGTTAAATTTTTCATTTTCATTTTGTAGGTTGAACTAGAAAAGAAGATGACGGAGGAGCAATCAAACAATAATTCAAGTCAGGCTGTACTTGAGGGCATCGTTGGCATGACTCCTGAGCTGGCTGGAGATGCTGATGCGCTACCGGAGCCCAGTTCAGCCCCAATTCCCAACGGAATAGTTCATGCAGGCGGAGATATTGGATCGGAGTAGCATAGCTTTAGAGTGTTGAAACCAAAGTTTGTAGGTTATTATTCAAGTTGGTATTCACTGTCATAATATTATGGTAAATAATATTTAATGTAACACAGATTAAAAACAAAAATATGCTTGTTAACATGAATATGTATCATAATAATGAACAGGTAAGGCAAAAAGGAAATTAATAATAATATTCATATTATTAATACTATATTGGTATTTTTACTATTATTATTGTTATTAATATACTGTATTATTATTGTTAATGCCATTATTATTATATTGTTATTATTTCTAAATACTGTACTGAAATTCCAATCTACAGCCAGCAATAGGGAAATGCAACTTGTCTTCATTGCTTAAACCACAGGTGGGCAAAGTGCGGCTCGACGGCGAATTTTTTAGCGGCCAGCGAAAATGAAATAATCCTATACGTGTGGCCCGCCAAGTAACGTTGGATATAAAACACCTTGTTTTGACAGCTGACACGGATCATATGTAAAAAGTAACAAAACTAAGAATAAAATGGTGTAAAATCAGTGTTGGAGATTTTCGGAAAGGTCACTGGAAACATCAAAATTCACTTTAACCCTCTGACCGATTTTTATACCCACCCCTGGCTTCAACGGTAAAGTGACCAAATGGTAGTTTGAAAAAGGGCTTATATTCAAATTTCAATAGGACAATTGACTTCACTATTTCGTGAGTACTTACTTGAATAAACCGGTAGATGCCGGTCATGGGCCCTGTAACAGATCTTGACGAGATTATCAACATCACTACTGATTTGTTTATTCTAGAGTGTCAGACTGACCAGTCAAAACAGGGCCCAAACATGTGCATGTCCCACAAGCACAAGCATATTTACTTATGTTTACTCTGTGATTTTTTGAAACCTTAGCTGCAATATTCAATGGGTGCTGCTTAATGGAAAGGTCTATTAAATTCTCTCATTCATACTATTCAAAGAATGTCTGTATGCTAAATTAACATCCATGGAGAGTTTGGCAAGCAAGAATTTCATTTTCATTATTTTAAAATGTATGGTAGACATTGGTACAATTTCCAACCAGTAGTTAGATATGACAACCAGATTTATTATAGGTAAAAAACATCAAAAAGCAACACATAAAAATTAATTACAGTTTTCATAAAAATTAAAATTATTATTATTATTATTGTAAAATATAACATTCGGACATTGTTTTAAAAATATATGTATATATTGCGGTAGACACATAGTACATTTCAACTGGCACTAAAGGTCAAAAATACAGTTAAAATTTTTAATAGATAAATTTAGATAAAAATTTTCATGAAGGTAATTGTAACAATTAGTATATTACTTAGACTTGCTTACGTTCTTTAAAAAGTGTATATGTACGGTGATGGGGCGCTTCCCAGCCAGCATTTGAAGTGGATGTATCTAGATTAAATAGTAAGGAAAAAAGCTAAAACTCT